AATAAAATTTCAAATTAAAATCAATAATTAATTTTTGATGAGATTCATAACTTTTTAACCACACATTTTATCTTTTTTTTTTATCAAAATTAAATAAATTTTTGATTTTAATCTATATCAAACAAAGGTTAACTCTTTCCTCTTTTCAACTTATTTTAAATTTTGGTGGCACGCGCATACCATCTATCTAAGATTCTAAATGATTTTATTGACATCCACGAGTTGGATTTAAAGTTATCGCTTAGATATTATCATAAATACATGAAAATCATTTTTTTTTTAATTTGAAAAGGTATTGAAGTAATCAATTCACTTGTATCATTGATATCACTTTGGTTTTAGAAAAAAAGCTTAGATGCTTTTAAAATTATTATGAAATTGGTGCTAAAATAATAAAAAGTGAAAAGTGCAACAAAAAAGCATAAATGTTATGATTGTGCAAAAAGCTATAATTTAAGCGAGAAATAATAATTATTCCAACTTTATGCATTCATTCCAATACGACAAAATAAAAATTACATTTCCTTAATAATATACGAACTACTATACCTAATGTTCGACCGTAATATTTAAAATTTAATTAATGAAGAAAGAAAGAAAATTCATAGGAATAAAAAAAGATTCAAAACAAAGATCTTCTCTTGTAGACCGTGAGCATGCCAAAACAAGATTTTCTCCACCCCATTTAATGTTGGAGTGACAACATTGAATTGGCTGGTTTGAAGTTATTTTTTATCCAACTGTCGATGAAATTTCGCAAAGTATGAATCTGTCAAACTGTCTTATAAAAATTCCGACAATGTAGTATGAATCTATAAAAATGACAACTGGCACTAGTAAATAAATAATTAAGAAAAGTTTCATTTTTATATAATATATATCTTATACTTCTTAGTGGGGCATCCCAATTCTCATCATTTAATTATTGGAGATGGGAATAATTGTATGGGCCAAAATGAAGAAAAGAAAGTCAATGACTAAGATTAACAATAGGTCCATATTAGATATGGTGTCGAAAAATAAAATAAAAGTCACTTTTAAACGCGCAAAAGATCTTCTCAGAGTAATTACGGGTCTTTGTTAAATTTGATGAATAATGTTTTATGAGAACAAATTGAAAAATAGTGTCCTAAATTATAACCACTTTGACAAAAAAGTCTATAACATTGAATGGATAAATAAGAGTCTGTACCATTTGTATTCAATTTTCTGTTTTATGGGTCGGCTTTAAAAACACTTCTATTTTAGTTTGAAATTTGAAAAATTATTGTATAACATTTTATTCCATAAAATTTGATGATTCGGTAATATGGAACAATTTTATAATAATTTATTAATATATACACTTTAAAGTTGGTGAATTTATAATATCTTTTTGGGTAATTGACACAAAACGTCCCTACCTTTTGGGTTGATTTTGGAAACCATCCCTACCTTTCATTTCTTGGCATTTATACCATTACCTATCACTTTTCGTGCTCTGAAAGTCATTTTCACCATATTTTGGCCATTTTACCCTCCATTCAAATAAAAGAAAAGAAAAAAATAAAGAATTAATTGCAATCATGCTCCCAATTTTTTTAAAAAGTGCAAATTAATCCAAAATCCTTTAGATTTTAAACTCATAATTAAATTGGGCTTTACAATTAAGCCATTGTTTGACAACCATTAAATTTTTTTTTTCCCAAATTGTTTTTTAACTATACATTCTCACAATAAAATATTTTGCACATAAACTCAAATTTTCTTTTATATTTTTAACCACACATTTTTCTAAAAATCACTATTTCAAAACTCATTTTTCAGAAACAAACTCATTTAAGCGGTTGTCAAACGAGATAAATCTTATTTTAAAAACCGGGCTTAATGATGCATGGGCTTTACAATTAAATTTTACTTTACCTTCAAAATAACTTTCTTACTTTCCTCTTTTTGACTAACTATAAAAAATCATATTTCAAAACTTATTTACTTATAAGTAAATATTTTAAGCTTAAACAAAATATTTGTTGTAAGAACTTAGAACTACAGTGTTCACCTGGTAAATTGGGCTTAGTTGTATGAAATATTTATATTTATGCTTAAGCCCAATGTCAATTTCATAGAGTGTAGTAGTCGAACAATCCAATGTAATATGATCATACCGTGACGAGTCATAATAGCATTGGATTATTTTCATGGAAGAAGATAGAGAATGTATAAATACTTGTATCAAGAGCACGAAAGCAAAGTGCACAAAAAATATTCATGAATATCATAAAAATAAGTATTTATTTAGCTCTTTGTTTATCAAATGCAGCTCCATCTATAGAAGTGTGCATTCGGGGTTGCCTTATGCTAGTTTTTGAGGTTCTTGATTAATGAAAGAGAGATGGTGGCCAATCCAAAGAAAAAGTAGGGCTTTTCCAGAGATGAATTATCCACAAAAGTCGAAGAAGGTGCAAAGTTTGATCGAAAGTACAGTGGACATCAATCACTTCATTTCGAAGTCCACATATAAGTGTCTCACTTTCTTTAAAACTCTCAAGGAAGGAACGAAGTTTGAATGAACTTTGCAGTGTGAAGAGGCCTTTGCGGCCCTAAAGTAACACCTGTTTCTAAGCTCCTCTATTCTTCAAACCGGTCCAATGAGAAATCTAGCAAATCAATTTGGCCATCTTGGTGAGGGCCACTAGTGCTATAATCGTTTGTACCGATGGGTAGCAATAATTGCCGATCTACTATGTGATAAAGCCCTTTAGGATGTCGACATGAGATATCCAAACATCGAGAAATTAGCTCTTACCTTGATCATGGCCTCCAGAAAATTGAGGCCATATTTCAGGCTTATACTATTGAGGTATTGACTAATTTCCTGTTCGAGGTAGGTTCTGCAGAAGCTGATGCGTTCTGAAGATTAATTAAATGGACAAATGAACTCGTCCAATTCGACATTCAGTTTTGATTGAGGATGGCTATTAAGGGTCAGGCCTAGGCAGACTTCGTTGCCATATTTACTGAGGAACCTATAATATACTATGAATGTCAAAGAGCATGGGTCAACAAAACAGAAATGGAAGTGGTTTATTGATGACTGGTCAGGAGAATTGATGATTCTAATAAGCTCATCACCTAAAATGTGCTCTAAGGTTTGGCTTCGAAGGTCGGAACAATGTAGCAAAATATGAGGAACCGATAACCAAGCTGAAATTTGTGAAGGAAATAATGGTCAACGACGACTCCAGCTCGTTGTGAATCAGGTGAATGGCAGCTTCATCGCTGTGGACAAGAGCATGGCTGCTTTTCTGAAGCATGTCGTTGAATTATTGCCAAATTTTGATAGGTTTGAGAACCTTCAAGTCCCTTGTACGGAGAACACCAGCTTCGAGGCCATGCCTAAATTGTCCAAGGATTTTGAGCTACTGGGGATGATTCCAATTGAATACCTAGAAATCCCCTTATAGAGGCCAAATATGAGGCGATGGTGAATGGGCGAAAGACCTCTCGGATTACCTAATAGACCAAAGGTTCCCATCCGACTCGATCGAGGTCATGAAGATGAAGTTCAGAGTAGCTCGATTACAGTACGGAACGAAATCCAATTTAAAAGAGGTTTCTCCACTCCCTTACCATGATGTCTCGGAGGAAATGAGACTGAACACATATTGCATGAGGTACCATGAGGAGAAACCCAGTCGAAATTGGGAGAAAAGTTATCGTTGACTTTAAAAAAGACTATCGTATTTTGAGGTCAACGGTTGTGAAATTGAAGAGGATCAAATACTGATTTCAATTGAGATTCCAATCGAGATTCTATACGCGTTGGGCAACATAAATTTCTTCATTTCAACGGAGGGAAGTTTTAATTTCATTGCAAGACATTACATCAGATTTTCCACATTTTTAGGGATTATTTTAATTTCTAAATTTAAACAATTCATGCATATTAGATTCTACAATTTCAATTTGTTAATTAAATAAAAAAATATATACGTTATTCTTACCATCTGTGACTCCTTTCAATGTTTTTTTTAATGAGTTTAGGAATTTATTAGGATTTAAATTAAGTTATATTTGAAAAAAAATGATTATCAGGTGAGAATTGGATGAAGCTTCAAATACTAAAGCCAACTGTCACATTTAGGGTCCGTTTGATTGTAAGGGTGAAAAATATGTGGAAAGAAAATGTTTTACAGGGAAAAAATTTTCCTAGAAAATGTTTTTCTGGGAATTGTAATTAATTGTGTTTGATTGGTATAATTTTCTACCTGGAAAATGTTGAAAGTTTGGTATCCGTTTGACTTCTTTTTTTATAAAAATTGTCCATTAAAGTGATAATTTTTCTTCCAATACGTCTAGAATTTGTTCTAATTACCAAAAAGTTAAAAAATTAAACAATTAGAAAAAATTACCATATTCGTTTGACTTTGTTTTACATAAAAATTGTCAACAACAACGAAAAATTCTTTTTACAATAGTTGATAGAATTGGTTGCCTTTGCTAAAAAAAAAAAGGGTGGAAAATATTTTTTCNAAGTTTTTGTGCATCAAATGATTGTACCTAAAAAAAGGTAGAAAACGTTTTCCATGGAAAAATTTACCTATCAAACAGCTTTTTAAGGGTGGAAAAGGAAAATGTTTTCCTTTTCCATGGAAAACTAAGGCTATCAAACGGAGCCTTAAGGTTTGTTGATATCCAAATATGGCACGTAAAAGTAGGCCAATGTTGAATTGAATTGTCACTCAATCCCCCCTCCCCTCCCCTCATCAAATGCAAACTGTTACTTCCCTCCCAACAAACATTTTTTGAACAACTAAATCTCCATCCAAATCTATTCTTCATTGAAACTCGCACCCTTCTAGCTTAGCTGCAAATGTAGTGGATGATCAATCGGTGCATTTATGCACCAGCATACCCTTCCATTCCAATTTATAACTCTATAAATAAATGTTAGAAAAAAATGGAGCACAAAATTGGGAATTGTTGAAAGATGAAATGTGTACAAAGCAAGTAGAATAGAAATGAGAACGGATATTATAGTGACTTTCTTAGCATTGCTTTTGATTAGTTCTAGCTTAGTAGAATCAAGAACTTATCCAAAAGATAATCACAGTAAGACGAGGGAAGAAGAGGAAAAGAGAACGAGTCGAAGAGGTGGAAGCATCCGCGGTGGAAGAGGGAAGACGAGGAGAGGCAGAGGTGGTGGAAGTGGGAGAACGAGGAGAGGCGGTGGTGGTGGATCATCAAACTGTGATCCTTTGTATCAATACTTATTTGGAAACTGTGGTCAATGGCCATTCCCACGTGAGGCACCTAACAACCCGTTTCGGCCTAGACCGAGACCGTCGCCTCGCCGGACTCCACCCAGACCACCAGGACTGCCGCCTCTAGTCCCTTCTCCACCGCCAATAGTGCTACCACCACCTTTAGTACCTTCACCACCACTCATACCTCTTCCGCCACCTTCACCGCCACTCATACCCCTCCCGCCACCTTCTTCACCTCCTCCGGTGGTTGCCTCACCGCCACCTGTGGTGTCTTCACCTCCACCTGCTTCTCCTCCACCAGCCTCTCCTCCGCCTGCCTCTCCTCCACCAGCCTCTCCTCCTCCAACTTCTCCACCACCTCCGCCGTCATCTCCACCCCCTACACCGCCACCCCCATTAGTTCCCTCACCACCACCTCCGTCAGATTCCTCCTCACCTCCACCTGACATTCCCATTGTATTCTCGTCACCGCCACCGCCTCTGGTTGCATCTCCACCACCGGACCAACCAGTCTTTCCATGGTTATCACCTCCTGATTCAATCTCAAATTCTCCAGAACTGCCAATATTTTCTCCTCCACAAATACCTGACTTTCTTCTCCCACCACCACCTCAGCTAGACCTGCCACCGTTTGATCAAAATCCCACACCGCCGTTAGTCCCCATTTTTTCCCCGCCGCCGGATGAATCTACGCCGGAGCCACCTCTTTTCCCAATATTCGCACCACCACAAGTCTTCCTCCCGCCACCAGATGAATCTACGCCGGAGCCACCTCTTTTCCCAATATTCCCACCACCACAAGTCTTCCTCCCGCCACCAGATGAATCTACTCCAGAGCCGCCACTTTTTCCCATATTCACACCACCAAAAGATCCACCTGAACCACCACCAATTTCACCTGAATTACCATTCACCTTCCCACCGATCACATTTAGCCCTCCACAAACAGATCCCGGTGCAATTCCAACTCCAGTAACATTTCCAATCCGGCAAGCACCGGATTTGTTCTTGCCACCACCAGTGATTGATAATCCCGTTATACCGCAAACTCCGGTGCAGCCACTGCCATTTATTACTGCACCGCCGTCACAGGAGGAGCAGCCACAACCGCCGTCGCTTCCATTCTTTCCTCGTGATGAATTTCCACCAGAACCCGAATCACCTCCATCGAAGGCATAAATTCTGTATTTGTAGCAGGCAATTAAAAACTTTCATTTTTTTTTTAAAATTCTGTGTTGTTTCTTATTTAGAGAATATTATTTCATCTGTCCCCAATCTAATAGAAGAACTGCAACTTGACTCCTTGTGTTTGTTTTATTTTTATTTTTCGCACCATTAATCAGCCCTTATTTGGTAGTGATAAAAATTAAAGTCAACAATTAATTTTAATCACATATTTTATGAAATTCAAAACTTTTTAATCCCACGATTCATCATTTTTTTATCAAAATCAGTTCAATATGAACAATCCAAAAAAAAAAAAAAATTACAATCTACAAAATGAAGTAAATAAATATTAAGAAATTAAAAATCAATTCAACATAAAATAATAATAATAATAATAATAATAATAACAACAACAACTTTTCACTAGGGTAGGGTGTCGAGTTTTGCTTACAAAATATGCACAAAATAATTTTATGATTAAAATCACGTTTAAGGGTGAACTCATTAATTGTTTATTGTCTATGATAAAAATTCGATACCAAATTCGAACAAAAACAAGAACCTAATTCTACCTTTTTAATTTTCTCACGTAAGAATGAGAATTGAAAATGAAATATTTATTAATATTATATTTTAATTTCTTTTATTTTGTCAATGGTACAAATAATTCTGACTTTATATTGGTTCAAAATTTATTGAAATCTAATATGTCGTACTAGAATTTATAAGGAGCTCGTTCAAATTAAAATAAAAATAAAAATTAAACATAGAAGTAAATTTTGAGAAGTAAAAGAGAAAAAAAAAAAAAAAGAATATACTGAATAATTTTTTTGGTTGTAAAATGAGATATGTTCAGTAGGCCCAATATGTTCAACGATGAAACAAACAAGCCTAAAAGAAATTTCATCCGCTGATCAAAAAATAATATCCCATAATGGAAATTGGTCCCAACACACATATCTCTCAAAATAATAATATTCATTAAACGACAAACAATGAAGAAGAATCTCATTATTTGACAAAAAGAATTTAAAAGTCAAAAAGTTCCATTAAATTAAAAAGTATATATTGAGAAGTAGGGCATTCATGCATGCATCCAGGTGCTCAAATTCTTGTTTCATGCCACATTAAAAAAGTTCACGGCTTGGAAAAACGAAAAAGGATGGACGGATCCAGGCTCGAATTAATACGTTAAAAAAAAAATAAAAAATTACACATGATTCTTTTTTTCTAACTAAAAAAAATCAGTGGGTGGTTGACCACTATGTCTCCGTTTGATTTCCATTTTTATTTTTCAAGAAATATGTGATTGATAAGTATATAATATTTATAGATTCTATGAAATATAAATTGAAATAATTATTTTTTATTTTTGAAAAAATAGAATTTCAGGAGGAAGAAAATGACACTCAAATGAAGGCTATGATTCAATTAAGTTAAGTTTAGCTCAATCAACTTTAGAATTCTCATACTCATTATTATAAATCTCAAAGTTGAGGGACCATTATTATAAATAGTCACGGCACAATTCAGCCCC